AAAAAAAAAAAATTTTTTTTTTTTTTTTTTATCATACCTTCAGCGAAAATATTCAAGAAAATTTTGATCAAATCATCAATGTCTTGACTATTATTAGCCTCGCAAGTGCACCTGTCACCGCTATTAGCTAAAAACGGGTTTGAAGAACGTGAGTTAACTGAATTTGAAGTTTGCGATGGTTGATAGGTGTGTTCAGTACAAGAACGATCAACCACCAGAACCGAGCAACGACTTGGCTCCATGAACAGTGGTGACAGAACAGAATCTGTCGGGGTAGCTTGTATAAGATTGGGAGCCAGCGGAACGATCTTTTGAAGGTATTTTTTTAAAAGAAAAATATTACAAATATATATATATATTTATGTATATATATATATATATAAAAATATATCAAGGAAAAGATTCTACTTTTAAATACTACTAAAAGGTATCCAAGGATTTATTTTTTTTTGATAAGTAATTCAAATTATTTTTATTTATTCTATAAATTTGAGAATGTTTATGTAATGAGAAAGAAGTGTTATTAATGCAAAGGTCTATAACATGTATTTACAAGTTTAACTAATATTTTTGTGTAATGCTGTGTTTCTAAAGAAACGGTTATACCAGTAAGTTTTGAAGTTATTGTTGTGTGGTGCTGATATATGCGTCAAAAGTATACAACAAAGTATATTGGTTACAGTGTATGTATGAGGTGCGCGACTTTCAAATAAACACTGGAGAATTAGAAGTCGCGAAGGATAAAGCGAATTGGGCACTTGAAAAAAAATATATATATATAAATTAAATAAAAAAGAAATATATTACAATGGGTAACCAAAGTCTAGTGGCAGAATTTTTTTTAAAAAAAACAGATAATCTATAAAGTGGATATGTTCAAGGAAAAGAAGAAAAAAAGAAAAAAGAAAAAAAAAGGTCTATTAAGAAAAATAAATATTTTTAAAAAAAAAGAAATTGTGAAGAAGAAATTTCGAAAATGAAAATGAATTTAAACTAATTAGATGTGAAAATTTAAATTTTTTTTTTTTGCCCATTCGACTCTTTTAGAATATTTATTATTACCAAGTTGGTTGGACTAATGGACTGTGCTCACTTCTACTAAAAATTTTTTTTTATATACAATACAATTATATGATTAGTTTAAATCTACGTGCATAATATAAATAATTATTTATATTGATCAATATAAAATGATTGATTGTAACTAAAATATATTAAAATTACCAGATTTGTAATTTCGTTTCAATAAAGTCTGAATAATAATTAAAGAAATAATTAGAAATTAAAAAAGTCGAAAGAATCATATGAGCAATTGAACACATAGAAATCATAAAATTGGGTTCCAAAATTCCTAAAACTCCTTAATATTTTAAATTAAAGAAACGAGGAATTCATGATGAAAAACTTTGATCATAAATTGTTTGATTGACGTTGAAATTTATTCATAAAAAAAACAAATGATAGAGAGATTAACAATTTTTAAGGAGAAAAAGCTAATCAATAATAAATCACTAGGATCATTTTACTTAATTTGGATCAGAAAAAAAGAAGGGGAGGTGAAGAATTTAACCGGTGACAAATGAGGAAAAGGATTGGGAGGGAAATAAATTCACCTCTCTTCCCCACAAATGTTGTGACCATCAAATGAAAGAGAGCGGGTAAAACAATTATTACAGATTTCACTTACGGTAAAAACTACAATACGTTTAATAATTGTATTATCAATTTAGATAAAGAAATTTGGGATGAATAAATTTAGATGAAGGGCGTTATGAAATTACTAAAAGAGAAATCAGGCATGACCTTATATTTCTTATACTCTTAAATATTTCTTATTCTCCTTTTGTTACACAAGAAAATCTTGACAAGGTAATTTGTGGAGAAATCAGGATTAGAACAGGATTTTACTAATTTCTGATTTTTTGTTGTTTATTTCTTGCATTTTTAATGTTGTGTTCGACACATTGATTTTTGGGTTGCACATTTTGGTTCTTTGGGAAGTTCCCTTGAACAAAGGAACAATCAAATCTCGTGGTTTTTGTGATTAATCATATGATTTATGGTTTCTTTTAAATATTTTTACTGCGCTTTTGTTTACATTTTCTTTGAAACAAGTTCTTTGTTATCGAATAGTTCCACTTTTGGATTCACTACTTGCTTGCATATTGGCAAAGGCTTATCAATAACTTTCAATTTTAAAGGAAGTTTTTAAGAATAATTTTTTTTTTTTAAAAGATAAGATAATAATAATAATAATAATAATTATTATTATTATTATTATTATTCAATGATAAAAATTTACATACCCGTAAGATATTATTGCTGCGCCAAAAATTAGAAAATTTTCCGTCTTTTTTTTTATATTTATATGTAATTTAGGTATCACATCCCGTGTCATTGAATGATTGAATTTTTTCAACATTGTTCAACATTTCTTGCATTCTTGAAAAAAAAAACAATATCTTGGATAGGAAACGAAACCGTACGTCCTTATTGTTTGATTTTTCATTTTCAACCAAATGATCACATTTAACATGTGCTCTTCTTAAAAAATATGCAATTATTCATCTTTTGGGCGTTTTTCTCTCTCTCCTTTCAATGATCTTTTGTTTGATTTCTTTGTCAATTTTTTTTTTTTTTTTCTTGATTGAAAAAATGTTATTAACATTGGTAAATACAGATATATGTTTATTAGTGTTGATAATAATAATAGAAATAGAAATTGGTATAATGCAAAATGGAAATTGTAACGATCAATACTTTAATTACTTTATTTTTAGCTTTTGATATTTCTCTTTGCATACATCAACTAGAATTTCATTGTTCTATTGGTTCATTAAAAAATAATAAGTCAAAATTGTTTAAATAAATCCATCAAAAGAAAAAGGAGCTTTGAAAAAAAAAAATTCCTTTCCCCTGAACAATTTTTTCTATTGTCCGTTCATTTCGTTCATTTATTATCCAATAGTTAATTATTTTTTTTTTTTTTTTGTTTCTTTTTCGGTTTTTACCTAATAGATCCTTAGTACGCAACGTGCCGATTAGTTTTTCTCCACAACTTTTTCGCGTGGCTTTTTTATTTTTGTAAATTATAAATAACAAAATAACAAGAAATCCGGCATAGTAAAGTTTTAATTATTTACGTAACCATCTCATTACTGATAAAAATAATCTCCTGATTTATTTTTTTTTTTAGGCATAACATATTACATACACACACACAATGAATATAAACAAACAACAAATATGCAAAGATAACGGTTGTGTTTAATTGAACTTTTTAGAAAATTTTTATATATCAATTATAATAATTATAATGATTTTTTTTTTTACGCCTTTGTTTTAAAAACATTTATCCATAGGCAAATCTCTGACTACTTTTGAAATATTGAAATTATTTTTTTTTTTTTGCTCGGTAAATCATCTATCAATTTTAGTTAGTTTATATTTTGTATAAGAATTTTTTTTTATCCAATCAAATTTCTATTTTAAATACTTGTAGTGATCGAACCTACAATCTCCTATTAGAATTATTAATCTTCCTTAAGAATACTATTATGATTGGAAGGGTATTTATAATTATAAATTGTCATATTTGGTAAATTTATTCATTATATAAAAAAATAAAAAAATAATATTGACTACTTTTGTTAAAAATTTTCATAACGATAAGCACTAAATAAAACTAAAAACTTTGCATTTTTAAAAAGAAAAAAAAAAAAAAGGGAAAAAAGTTACAATATTCAAATTTTTTCTAATAAATAAATTTTTTTTTTTTTGAAACTAATTGGAAAACGTGTATACACAAACCATTCATTCATTATAAACAAATATTTCAAGTAAAAAAAAAAAAATTTATAATATATAAAGAATATATTAAAAAAATGAATACAGACAGTAAACATTACGTTCATCAAAACGTCAGCATTTTTTTTGTTGAAATAATATTTAACAAATCATAGAAATATTGATGAAAAGAATTTAAGAATTTATCTACTTTAATAACAACCATAAAAAGCTCTAATAAAAAACGATAAAAAGGTCACACGTTTGAAATGGATCAACCATTAATTATTGATCAATTCCCATAAAAAATAATGAAGTATAAGTACATCACTTAAAATAAAATGACCAATAATCATAATAATCACAAATATTGAAATAATATCATTGAATTTTTTTTTAAAAAAAATATCCAGTAATATCTATATCTACAAAATGTTATATATTTCTTGAACGAAAAAAGACAATGATAAAATAAATTTAATAAATTTAGGGTCTGAAAAACAAAATATTTGTCAACGAGAGGAAAGCCAATTAATTAAATCTTAAAGAAAATCTTTTGTGTTAACATGTCAGTGATAAAAGAAAATTTTCAAATTAACCAATCGGTTCAAATAATATCTCTATATTATAACTCCCTACAAAATTTTCTTTAAATTAAAGATGGTAACTCCTTTCCTTATCAGATTCATACTAATAATATAACAAGGTAGCAGCAATAATGAAAACTTGATATGCTCACTTTTCATTGACGCCAAAGTTGATTGATCCTGCGTCTTAATTCAGAAATAATTTGTACTTTAGCTTCCAATTGTGTGTCTAGTTCATCAAGATACTTTTCAAAAGCTTGTACTGTGTCGTCATGAGCTGCGCCCATATCGTTATTGGAGTTCATGCTTAGAGTGAAATTGGCCAATAATTTTGTTTCATGTTTACCAGCTTCACTTACTTCCCTAAGTTCGTGACGGTGACGCTTAAGAAAATCTTCTATATCTGCATGAGTTATACCACTCTGTGACGACGACGATGCATGCTCATTGTATGATGGTTTTTTAGAACTTGAAGAATTCCTATAATCTGATGAATGAGAAGCAATAGTTGAAGTTGATATAAGGGAGCTCGATGTATCATTAACACTTAAAGTTGAAAAATTTCTTGCAATCTCACTTTCATTATGATTATTCGCGGATTGATCGTCGTGATCACTAATAAAATCTTCATCAACAATGCCATCAGAAGGCATTTCTTCGTCAAAGAGATCATTGTCCTCATCACTTGGAAAATCTTCCTCTAAAAAATCGGAACCTTCTTCATCGTCAAATGCAGGATCTTCATCATCATATTCATAACCCTCAAAACCTTCCTCATATTCATATCTTTCTGCTTCTAATTTTGCTTGTGCTTGATTATAATATTCTTGTATTTGTTCTTCAGTTAATCCTTGTAGTTCACTGGCGGTTAGTTCAAGACCTGCAGCAACCCTATCGGCACGATCTCGTTCTGATTTGAGCTCTTTAACTCTAATTTATCCGTTGAGCCCAAAATATAAAAAGATTAATATTACCATATGTTAACTATCATTATCTAATAATTAACTTACCTGTCAGCATATCTTAAAGTATTTAAAGTATGTTCACTATTCGAAATGTTTGGTGATATTGTCGCGATCATACAGGTTCTTGAATTTCCGACGAAGGAATCTTTTAATACCTGTTTAGGGAGAATAATAAGCGATTTAAAATAAAAAAAAAAAAACACTCAAACTACATTTATTTTTAAGTAAAAGTTATTCTTTAGAATACAACATACTTGCGTTAATTTACTCTGACGAAAAGGTGTATGCCTTTTATCTTGATCCAAAGCTCGGATACATTCTTTTAAAGCCAACAAGCTTTTGTTGATTTCGGCACCTTCCATTCTACAATAAAATTAATCGTCAAGGGAATCCTTCAAGAAATGATTAAAATAATGTGGAAAAATGCGGACAGAAACCCAACATATCGCATGCCTTGTTTGCTTATCAGCATCTCCTCTATCCGCACCTCGTTCACTTCCGGCTAAGTCGATAAAACTGAGTTTGCCTAATTAAAAAAGTCAATATATATTATTTAATATTTATAAAGATTATTTTTATTTGTATCATAAAACGAAATACCATGAAATTTCTTTCTGTTGTTTTTATGTTTCAATACTATCTGCAAGATTGCATGTGATCGAGATGAATCTTCATTTGCTCCAGTACTGCCTAAATATATTAACATACAACATTAAAGTGTGTTAAATCATTTTACTTTAGGAAAAATATAACGAACCGGTGCTCCGAACAGTATTTCCGTAATCAAAAACTTGTAATAGACTATCAACATTATCAATTGTATATTCTTGTAATCCTGCAATTATAACATTTTTCTTTCCGTCCTCTCGAGCGAATAACTTCTTTCGCTGATTCAATAAATCGTACAGTTGTCCTTGATAAATCTCATAAAATCCTATATACGCCGATAAATGACTAAACCTTTGTTCCTGTAATAATGTAAAAATATCTCGAGCTGCCAAGACATAAAGACCTAAAAAAACAAAAAAAGAATAATCAAATTACTTAAATGTAGAATTTTTAGTTTTTATTTTCTTAGTACAACACTTACCATGTCTCTGGTCAAGCATAGTGAATGTCTTTCCACTCCCTAATAACCAAAATAAGATAAAAAATAAATTACCAATATATACCATACCATTGTATCATTATATTAATATAATGTAGTGCATTAATACCTGTTTGTCCACTAATTAACAAAAAGAGAAAAGTTCTTGGTGAAGGAATTAAATATTCAATATGGATTTATGAAAAGAATTGAAATTGAAATTGTAAAAAAAAATAAATCAAAGGATACTATGCAAAACATGTTGCTTTTCCACCGTGAAAAATATACTCGACCAATGGTAAAGCTGTTCGTCTATAAACCTAGCATATTTTATAAAAGTAAATAAAACCCTCTCATACAAAACATTAATCGCTATCCTCTATTTTTACCTCTTCGTTGTTAGCATCAGCGTCAAAAACATCATCAAATACGAACGTATGTTGCTCGACATATTTGGTCAAGTCAACTTTAGTTCTAATTAATTAATAAAAATTATTAAATCCCTTTATTAAATCCGAAAGTATTTCAGTCAAAATATTAAAGTAAATAAATCTCACTTCGGTTCATTGATTTGAAGAGTCCTTTGGCTATTGATATTGGCAATGTCTTTCTCGTTTCTAGCAAGTTCCTTCTTACTAAGCGGTCGTTTGCGGACACATACTCTGATTTTGTCATTTAGATTGCTAGGAGCGACATGTCTTGGTAGAGAGTAAGAGTTACCACGTGATGGGTGTCTTGATGGAACTCCATACGCGTTTAAAGATCGCCTTGGTGATGTATTTATTTGAATGTCCTCTTCCTCTTCTTCTTGTGCTAACGTTGTTTCAAATTGTTGTTGTAGCAATGCCATTGGTTGTGGATTTGGTTTACTACTAGTGCCAATAAATGGTGATGGTATTCGTGAACGAGTTGTCAATGTAGGAAGTGTAGAAGCACGACCTCGACCTTGAGCAGGCGAAATTCGTCGTCCCGCGAACATTTGAAGAGAAGAATCCATATTTACAGTTTATAGATCGACTGAGCTAAAAAAAAGTCTTCAATTTGAAAAAACGAAATTATATTACTTATAAAAATGACTTTCGGAACTCCTTGAGAATAGTAACCATTCAAACTTCTGTAAACAAAACCGTGACCTGAAAACTCAAATTTGATCGGCCAATCAAATGATATTGTAACACCGGATGTGATTATGTAAGCTGCCACGTGATAGTTATTGTGGTATTTCACGAGATATAAAAGCATTGTATTTATCTTAAATAAGTATTGAGTTGTGACTTTCTGCTTTTTTTTATACAAATTAATTGCATTTTTTCTAATAAAAATCTGTGCTAAACTTATATATATAAACTATTTTTTAATATCACTAAAAATTTGATATTTTTTCATTAAATAATTTTTTTTTAACAAATACAGCTAAACTATCTAATTATATTAATCTTATATTACTTAGATAGATTATTTTATTTATTTATTTTTTTTTTAAATGTAATTTTATGTTTAAAACTTATTTAGTAAAATAATATATATATTTAGTATATAAAATTTTACATATATCTTATACAGAATCCCAGATATCTAATATATAGGTCATAATGGACCTTTGGTTAAAATTACCTATTTTTACTAAATTCAAAAAATTATTTGCAGAATTTCAGATTTTGCCAATCAATTCTAGTTTTCAGTATTATTTTTAATTATATCTAAAAATGCATTTCATTAAAATGAATTGTTGTATTTCATCTTTTTACAATTAAAATAAATGATAAAATATATTTTTTAATATTTTAAATAGTTTTTAAAAAATTTTTAAACAAAAAGACTTTTAACAAAAATATCCTTAAATAGTTTTTAAAAAATTTTCAATAAAAAAAAAAAAAATTTAAATATATAAAAAAAAATTCTATAATATATTATATAAATAAAAAATCTTATTTATAGTAAAAATATCTGATTTTTTAGTTTTTGCATAATTATTATTTGGTTATGTAATTTTCTTATCAAAAAATTACATAGTAAATTTAAATAAAATTAGATCTTAATATTATATGGTTTTATTATTATTCAAAAATAAAAATAAAGATAATAATAAAAATAGAAATGTTAATAACAATATAGTTAAAGAAATTTTAGATATTCTTATTAAATATAATCTTTTTGAAAAAATTTAATTATAAGAAATAAGATTTACTGAAATATTATTTTATAGTTATTTTATAAAAAAAGTGAATTATTTTTTATGATTATTTTACTAATTTTTTAGTAATTTTTTATCCAATTATTTATTTTACTTTTATAGATATTTTTTTATTAGTCTTTTTTTTCTTTTTTCTTTTATTTAATTATGTTATTTTTTCTTTTTTTAATATTTTTTGTTTATAATTTAATTTTTTTTTTATTTTATAACTTATATTGTATAGACTTTCATTTTATAAATAAAAGTACTATTTACAGCAAAAATAAATTAAAAAAATATATTTATTAATAGTATTTATTGAATATTTTAATATAATACTTAAATATTGATATTTACAAAATTGATTTGAAAAATTTTTATTTTTTTTAATGAAAATATATAGCTTTTTTTTATATTGATAAATTTAGCAAGTCTTTTTGGCTTAATTTTTTTTTCTTATATTAGAATGATAACTTATTCTTTAGAGTATTTTGCACCTAAATTTGTACATAATTTTTAAAAATAATGTTTCATTATTAAAAAAAATAAACTTATTAATAATTGAAGTGGTATAAATTTTTTTTATATTAAAAGTCAAATTTAGTAATGATATTTATTTTTAAAATTTACTGATCAGAAAAATATACCATATATAAAAATAAAAATTGATATTCTAAATATACTTTTTATTATAAGTAAAGTTGTAGAAAAGATGAAATTACATGTAATATATAATTTTGACAGCTTTATAATAAGTACACATCTAATTTAATTTCAAAATCTTAAAAAAAATACATAATTTAGAAATTTTAATATGAAAAATATTTGTTAAAAAAAAAATAATATTTTTTCAATAAAATTACTGATGTTTTCTTAGTAAAATAAAAAAAACAGCATAATTTTTTTTTTCATTATTAAAATAAATTTCGCTATAATATGATTTTTTATCTCTTTGTATTTTCTCCTTCATATAGCTTGAAATAGTAAAAATTCTCATATAAATAATAAAGAATAAACTACTTTCAATTTTTTTTTTATTTCTATAAACCTTGCACAAACTTCTTCAGATTAAGGTTTGGATAAGAATGCTGATCAATTAATTATGATTTCTGCCATACATTATTTACGGAAGAAAAAAACAGTCCAACGGTCTATCATTTTTCACCACCATAACAGATATTTATTATTTATTTTTTATTAATAAAATTAATAAAAAATATATATATATAATAAATTAATCCCAAAATGTTAATCCCATTGTGTTTCACAATTTAAGCTATTTCATAATATATAGTCATAACAAAACATGTGATCAAGAATGCTGATCAATCAATTATAAAGTGGTTATTATCTAATATCTTATATTTAATTTCTTAATAGCTATGTTATTTATATTATATGCATTATTTACAGAAGAAAAACACAGTCTGATGATCTATTATTTTTCATCTCCATAACGAATATTTATTATTTATTTTTTATTAATAAAATTAATAAAAAAAATATATAATAATAATTAATCCCAAATTGTCAATCAATTTAACAATAAGCCACTGTATTAATAAATCATCATACAAAAAAAAAACTGCATATATAAATAAACCATAAGTACGCTTAGAAGGAGGGTAGGTGACATAATCCCTATTCTCTACTATATATTGGTCTCTACTATATATTGGTAAATGGTAATCAAATAGATGTCTGAATCTAATAGATTAGGAATAATATACTTTAAGAACTAAGAATAAATTTCACAACTAAAAATTTTCCTAATTCGTGTATGTAGATCTAACCAAAAAAAGAATAAACATTACAAGTGTTTTGATGATCTCTGAATCAGGAACTTTAGGAGAACTTATATTTATTGTTAGAACCTTGTATTACATTCGTATTATGAGTACAACAGTACACAAAAAGACTGAATAGCAGAATAGGAAAAATTCATGACTTGTTTTTTATACTATGAGAATTTACAATCCAATATTAATAACTAATAACCTGAAAAGTACTTCATATATATGCTGTTAGTCCTAATATTTGATATATTTTGATTTAATAAGTTAGTACAACACTACAAATCAATAAGTAAACATGTTTAAAACAGGTTATTTTAGCAATTGCTCTGTCAACCACAAGATTTTTAATTTTTATTAAACATTACTATTTAGTAAATATAAGATCCAACTCTATAATGTTTAAGAACTTTATAATTAAAACTGCAACTTAATCTTAAAAGTTTGTTTTATTTAACAAAAATACCAAATGTATAGTGAAAGAAAACTAAATAAAAACTAAATCAAAACTTTTATATAAATAATAAATCTTTAATTAACTATATATAAAATAGCAAATTTATATAAAATATTTATACTTTAAAGAATATTAAAGTTATTTCAATAAAAATTAATATTTGAGTAGCTTTATATATGTTGAACCTTTAAGTTTTCTAGATTCATTTTGTTTAGCTAAAAGTACTAAAAATTATAATATAAAATTGATAAATAAATATAAATTAAGAAATATTAATAAAAACTAAAAATATATATTTTCATACTTGTTAAATAATTCCGCTTAGTTTCTTAAAACTTGGTTCAATTGACTAAAGTATTAATATTATAAAATCTATAAGTGCGTATGTTACGAATATAACAATTAATTTTTATTGTTTAGATCTTAATATTTAACACAAAAAGAAAGAGAATTTTATTGCGCCACAAATCTAAGCACATCATAAGATCACATGGTACGGCGTTTTAGTATTTATTCCATATCAGGCTTCAAACTTATTCCCGTCAATTAGTAAAGCAAACAACAGTTATGGCACAAATTAACGTATTCGATGAGATAAATACAATCGAAAGAGAGATAAAATTATATAATAATAAACGTTCCTCTGGTGATTTCGACATGACTATAAAAGAACACAAACAACTTTTCATGAATGTTTCGTCGCATTTTAAAACACAACCTATTGAAAATAGATTAAACGATGATCTAACGAAATTGCAGAGTGTTACGAATAAAATCCATAAAATGGTTGAACAACAAAAACAAGAGACAGATAATATTATATCTATGACAGAAAGACACATAAATATAACAAAACACTTACAAGAGAAGCTAGATAATGTACAAGCACAAGTGGATTATACAAACGTATTGAGTACCTATAGAGACTGGATTGGGGAATTCTTGCGTGAGGTGGTGCGAAAGATGAAACTTAAAAGTTTGGATGAATTTATTCAGATACTTCATAATAAATGGTTTCTTGAAGATCAGGAAGACGAAGAAAGCGAGACTGAGGAAAATGAAGAACAGGGAGACGAAGAAAGCGAAGTCGAGGAAAATGAAGAACAGGAAGACGAGGAGGACGAGGAACAGGAAGAAGACGATAATATTCTTACTGAATTAAAAATAATTTTAGAAAAAGTTGGCTTAACGTTATTAGACTTTAAGAAGTTGTTAAAAATGAGGGAATTAAGTAATACCAAATTTCATAAAACCGATCTAAATCAAACACCGAAGGAAGCGAAAAAGCAATTACACGATACCGACTTTCCTGGGGATATTGCAGACATTAAGGTTCCACTGGAGAAAGCTTTAGATGCTTTAACACTTTGGACGAAAAATAAAAAACGACGAAATAAGCAAAATAAGCGGAAAAAATAAATAAATTAAGAATTTGCTTTAACAGAACTTTTTTTTCACCATTCTATTTATAAATGGATATTGTATGCTTTTAGCGAGCCATCTCATTTTTAAACAATTATTTTTATATAACAGTTTAGTGAAATATAATATAATATTATTAATAATAAATTTATTTACCATTTATTTTACATATTTTTTATAAATCTGAAATAACTATAAATCTATTTGTTATTCAACCATTATATAAATATTGAAAATAAAATATATACAATTAAATAGGACTTTGTAAATCGATTAGTTAATTATGTAGTTCTTGTAATAGTATGCGAAAATACTGAAAAGAAATATAGGTTAGTTCTTGTAATCAGCTTTGGTTTATAATTACATTAATCACTGATATATAAAGATTAAAGAATTTAATATTAATTCTTATATTGAATCATATTTTATGATTTAGTCAAACTAACTATTCTTATTACTGCCACTTATCACTGAACTTTGTTAGACATTTGCCAGAAAAAAAATTATTTTAAAAGTTTAATTAATTCTATAATCTCTTACTTAAATAATCAAAACTTTAAATTATATAAACAATAAATACGGTAATTAATTATATTATTTTTGATTCAACCTCTCTTCCTCTAACTTAGCTTTTTCATTCTTTCGTGCTTGACGTTCTTCATACCTTTTATAAATTAAAAATCGTTAAATTAGTAAAAATAATAAAAAAAATTTTTATATTCAAAACAATCATAATTATTACTAACATCTTTCTGTGTTCAATAATTCGATTAATAATCCCGTCAGTTGTTATTTCAGCAGAAGGATTTTCAATTTCAACATATATTCCTAGTGCTTTAGGAAGCTATATAATAAAAATTAGTATTTATCATGCTTAAAGAGAGAGATATATATTATAATTACTTCATAAGGGTCTTTCCCATTCACATCAGGGAGCGATGGAGTATTTCCATGTGCTACTATATCAACTTTATAAACTTTAGATAGTACATTTTCGTCGACGCTATATGGGGCTCCAAGGATAACTTCATCTACATACTAGTTGAATGAAGGTTTTTTTCTTTAAAAAAAAGGTAATTGAAAAAGTATAGATTAAGAAAAAAAAAAAATTTTTTTTACCCTACAAGCAAGAACACTTAAAACGCGTTCATGAAGATTCATTAACGGAAAATTTACTCCTTTAATTGCATTAACCGTCTACACAATTATGGAAAAAAGAAACAAGTATAAATATAAAATTTGCCAAAATGATGGTTTTATATTTTTAAAATACTTACCTGATCATCATGAATACCAACTAATAAGTAATTACCCAATGATTTAGCCCTCTTCAAAAATTCAATATGTCCCACATGAAACAAATCAAAAGTTCCATCAACGTAAACGACTTTGTCTCCAGGTTCAGGTTCTCTCCCTTCCGAAAATTGTACTATTTTTTTAGAAGTCGGTAAACAATGGGAGATTTTTATTTCTGGATTGTGTTTTATGTTACTACTAAAAGAAGTTAAATCTTCGTTATTGATCGAAGCGATGGATGATCGACGCTTGTGATGATCACGTGTCATTAGTAACATGCGTCCAACCAATTCTGTAGTTGAGATTCCTTGAGTGCGCTTGCATTCTCTATATTTTCCTGCATCTTTTACAGCTTGATAACAGTCTGTTCCATCAGAAAGTGTGGTAATATCATCACCATGTACGCAAAAATCACAGTTGTATTTTTCCATTACCTCAAGGCTTGTAAAGTATGGAGCATCTTTAACAACTAAATCGGCCCATTTACACGCTTCAACCGCAGTATATCTAAAAAAAAAGTATTATTTATTTAATAGTAATATAAGAAAATAATAACAAAATAATTTGATTACCTCTCTTCTTCTTTCATAACAGTAGGCCCTTTGTGCTTTTCTATTTCTTCATCAGAATGAACTCCAACAACTAGAAAATCTCCCATTGCCTTCGCCTATCGTAATAAAAATTAATTTCAAATGGTTGGTTTATTAAAAAAAAGAACTAATTAACTAACCTGTCTCAAAGCATTGGCGTGGCCATGATGCATCATATCAAAGCAACCGTCAACCCATACTCTGCATTATTTACAGTTTAAAATATAAGTTACTTCAAATACTTCAAATACGCATAATTAAATAATGAGAATACATTAGCTATATATACCTAACTTGTTTGCGATTGGGATTTTGAGACATTTTTTTATTAAAATTTTATCATTTTTTTTTGCATCGAAATTTATTTAAGTTTGACAAGAGGATCAGTTGTACACGTTTTTAGATTATCAATAAATTTCACATGATGTCATATGCCAATTACTTTAATTTGTTTTTAACGGTTAAATAATTACTTTTAATTCTTTTGAAAATGGAAAAACAACTGGAAGAAATTTGTTCAAGGTTAGACGAAGCTTTACTTGAATACTTGAATTTAATTTCCAATTATCAAGAAAATTGGCAACAAATTAGTAAGGATTTAGAAGGTGTAAGTAACTACCTATTTTCTTATAGTACCATTCAGACATAAACTAAAATTCTAAGTAACTTCAGGCCTTTATGCAACTTGCTCACGCAAAATATACTATGGGGCCTGGTAGATTAACTCAAGATCAGTATGACGGGAGAATGCAAGCTGCTACAAGAATGTATAAATATATCCGTTAATACATGAATTATCTACCTCATTATTACAACTGATTATTCATCTCAGTTTCGTTTGTTATCATTTGGTACAAAGTTTGATATCACAAAATCTAGGTGTTGAAGAAGAAAAAAAGCATTACAATCATCAATTTTCTTTGATTAGTGGATATTTGGAAAATGATGAAAATATAATTGATGAATCCGAATCTAGTCAAATTATTGATAGCTCTTCAACCCTTCGTCGACGCAATGTAAAGGAACTCGAAACTAAAACTGATAATACGGCTAAAACGGAGAAGCCGCAAAAAAAAAAAATTATACGCGATCCATTACATTGGTTTGGACTTTTGGTTCCACCATCCTTAAGGGATTCGCAAAAACACTTTAAGCAGGGTAAATTACTTGCTTTTTAATACAAATAATACAAATAAAATTTCTTTCTTTAAAAATAATAATAATAATTAAAATATTATAAAAAAAGGCCTAGTAAATATGGTCAACCTCTTAAATTTACGAAATGAAATACTAGAGAAAGAAGCTCAATACAAAATTATGAAGCAAGAAAAAGAAAAGATTATGCAAGAATTATCAAAATCAAAGGAACCAGTGAGTGAAGAAAAGAATACCCAAGAAAACGCATTGTAATGAACTCAGGTTTGAAGATATTATCTAGATCGTTATTTTACTATAAAATCCTATAACCCTTATTAGCAGCTATTTAATTTTTACTGATATATCTATACGCGAGTTTATTAGGGTCTAATATTACTTTAATTTAATGGTAGATTGATATGAGACTATAAAACTTTTTTAGATAACATTATTTCATGTACATTCATTAGAATATACTTTTGTATAGATTTAGCAAAATTTTTTTTTTGTAGAAAATTATAAGAAAATAAGAAAAGAAATGATAAAAATTTATTCTTACACGAAAAAATAAAAATAAAAAAAACAAAATAAAAAATGGCTTTGTTATAATACAAAACCGTGATCTTCAATATTCTCACAAAATAGAAAATTTATGAATGGTTGTCCACCAAATTCAAGTAGCCGGTGTTATTTACATGGAAAAAGGGAAGAAGCGGATAAATGGGGATGATGAAGCTTCTTCAAAAAGCTTTATCACAATAAAAAAATAAGATACCCAAATTGGGCCGTCAGAATATGAAAAAAAAAGAATGTAGCAAACAATAATAAAATAATGATTTGATCTATTACAATGATAAAAAAAACAAATGATAGTCCAAAATCCTTTTTTGTTTTGTTTTTAACTATCACCCATTATTACAACCATATCTAACAATAATTTGATACAAATATAATTTTGACATTGTCCAAAACAACATAAATAATTTTTTTTTTATGCCCTGCATTTACCTTCTTGAATTTAATTGGCTACTGTTAAATCGCCGTTGTAAACCACTATTAGATAAACCAAATTGAGGAGGTTGCGGTATCGTTTGTGGAGGTTTAACTCGAAATTCGGCCAAGATTACAATGTGACTGGAAGAGGAAAATTAAAAAAAAATTAGAAAATTAAAATGATTCTATACGTAATTAATTTTTTTGTATATTGATATATTAAAACACGTACTCGGATGGAAAATGCGCGTTTGGAAATCCAACCATCTTTGTCAAATATTCTTTGTCTATGCCCCCCAATAAGCCAGTAACACTCAAGGTATTTGTACTATACCAAACATAATCAATTACGCCGGTAAAACTTGGCGTGAAATTGGTAAATGGCAGTTCCTCGATATTTGAATAAGCAGATTTGAGAGATAACTTATGGGATAAACCTTCGGATGTATATGTTCCATACCTATGGTCACCAAAATCATCATGATCTTGTCGTATAATACCACGAGTAAGAAATTCATATACACCAGAATCTGGCGTAGAGTTAAAATCCCCACAAATAATAGTAGATATCTTTTGTGGTGAAGTATAATTGTATGGTGAATTACTAGTACACCATTTTTGTGCAAGTTTATCTAGTTCATCCATTAACATTGCAACTTGAACAAGTTTGACATCTGCGTATGTTGGATCCCAATGAATATGACAGTTAACTACAATAACGCGAGATAAAGTCTCCTTATTTTCGAGCAATGTTACAATTGCAATATTGTCTTTAGTTATCACACGGTTGAACATATCATCAGTTTTCTTGAAATCCGGTCTTTGTAAAGCAACTTGATTAAATTCTATCAATTGTTTGTCAATTAATTGATACCTATTAAGGGGAAGTTAAGATTGCATTAATATTTTATTTTCACCTTCTTTTTAAATATCATGGAAATTATAATTTTAACAAGAATAATTTTACTTTGAACTCTTATAAAATGTCGCGCATCCGTCAACTGATTTCTTTTCCCAATCAGCCATTGTCTTTGCTCTGGATTTTGGCCAATATACACTATCATAGCCTCCATGATTGTGAAATGTATCCTTGAAGTATTCATCATACTGAGATGTATCGACCTCCTGATTAAATCAAAAAAAAAAACGAAAAGGAAGAAATTAAATGGAAGCCTAACGAAATTATATGAATGGTATAAAATATAATAACCCACCTGGAGACAAACTATATCAGCGTTATATGATAATACCTCACTCATAATTAATTCCTTTCGATAATCCCATTCAAGAGCCCAAACAGGAGTGTATCCATATAACTGAGTGGTTGCATATTTTTCACATAGGATATTATAGCAAAGGAGTGTAAAAGTATCTATAATACATTGAAAAAATAATGAATCCAGCAAATACCAGAGTGAGAAAAGGTTACTCTTTATTTTATTTTATTCTATTTTATTTTCATTTTTATTTTTTTCACCATTTCCTTTTCTTTGGTGTAAAGCCAATTCCTGTCTACTGGAGACATACCACGATCTCCACCAGCTTCATTTTCCAACATTATCCAATCCCTTTCTATTGGACGAGGTGGAACTTTTAATTTCAAAATAAAAGGTTAATAAAGTAAACGCTAAAATTTCAACAAATATATATCGAAAAATATACCCTGACAATTATCGCGTAAAAATTGTATCACAGCTGCTGTACCATCCTTTTGTAATATGGATTTTATAGTGTCATTTAATCCCACATTTCCTTCTAATCCAAGTGTTTCTAACTGATAGAGTGTACCCAGTTCGAAAGGTATGTTCACAAGCAAATTGTCAAATAGCAACAGTTCTCTGAGATTCGTTAACATGCCTAACTCTGGTGGAAGAACTGATAATTTATTACCCGAAATATCCAGTATAGTTAGGTTTCTTAATTTAGAGATCTCCGAAGATACATAAGTCAAATTATTATGGTTTATATAAAGCGTTGTAAGAAAATTATAATGAAATAATTCTTTACTAATGTTTTTAAGGCCCATTCCACCCAGATCAATTGTCATCCATTGTTGAAATGGTTGATCTTGTTTCTCCCCATTAGCTTCCTTTTCTTTCTTTGGAAGTATACCATTTAGTGGCGGTTTATTCGGATTATTTGGATCTGTTATAGCAATCGCTGAACTGCCAAGGTTACCAAGATTACTATTACGGGCAGCAGCAGCAGCTTGACGAGCATGGTGATGAGGAGAATTTGAATTACGGCATATAGCATAATAACTAAGTTGCGATTGCCAATGTGGTGTATTTGTAACAGATAAAGCGTGTGATTGAGAAACCGTCATATTTGTCTGTTGCATTAAAGATTGTCCAGGTGGTCCAGAATTTTGATTAAGGAGCGAGTGCGAAGCAAACGCATGATTCAAAGGTGATTGTAATTTGGGTTGTAATTTAGATTGAAACGGAAATAACATGTTACCACCAGAATAAATCGCAGGTACACCATGTGAAACAGGATAGCTTAGAGGAGAAGTTTGTCCTGGAGAAGTCGTCGGCGGAGACGGCGTATGTGTAGGCGAATGAACTGGCGAAACAGGGCCATTCGGGGAACCGTTTGGTTGATAGATTAGTTGGTGAGGAAAAGAATTCATTTTCAAGGCGTTTAGTGTCTTTAGTCCTGCAAAAGAATTGATGGAGTAAAGTGATGGCAAAGTTTGTACGACATAATCATGATTGGTTAGATTATTTATACTATATAGAATAAATTTACTATTCCTGATCGTTCAAAAGTTTTTGGATTGAATATCCTTTAACCAATCCGAATATTTTAGCCAATCACCGGCTTGTTTTTGTTCCATTTGCTCATATAAAAAGACGATTAATTACTAATAAGCATCGGCTCAAAACCCGAAATGATCAAAATTAAAATATTTTTAAAAGTATTGTATAGCAGCATATCAATAATGAAATGTAAAATATTTTATTTTACTTTACCGATTTTCCATTTACAGTGACTTTCGCTAAAATAAATTTTATAAAAAAAAATTGATCTACTATGATGCTAACTAAAACTGTGTAACTAATTGGTAGATCAACAAAAAAAAAAAAAATTTTAAAAAAAATTAAAATTTTAAATTTTTGAGATATCATTGACAGTTTATAACGATTTGCTCAAATAATAAAGTTTCTTGTTCTAATATTGTATAATCTTGTTCTAATATTGTATAATGATTTGTTCAAATAAATCTAAAATAGTAAAACGAATATTTCTACAAGAAGTAAATAATATTAAACGTTATTATGCTTCAACGATTCAACTTCCTTTTCACCCACATTATGTACCACCAGGTCAACCTACAACAATCACAACCACTTCTGATATATGGAAACAAAATAAAATTTCAAAAACTTCAAGTAGGTCTTCTACAATTTTTGAATATTCTAGCAAATAAATCGTACACACCTTTTTCCAATTAGTGATATTAAAAATTCAATGATTTTTCAATTAGGGTTCGTGCCAACAATTAATAGATTACAGGAAGCATCATTTTCAAAAAGAGAAGATATTTTTTTGTCAATGAATTTTTTTGGTGATACTTATAATGAAACTTCAAAAAGAAAGATTCCTTTTATATTTAGGATTTCTACAATATGTTTCGTAGCAGCCAGCTTAATTAGATTTTATCATCGAGGCAGTAAAGGGAGTAAAGGGAATAAAGGCAGTAATAATAATATTAAACTTAATCAGAAGTCAATATATGATAATAATGACGTACAATTAGATCAAAATACGGGATAATTTGATATTCTTTGATTTAGGTAAGAAATTTACTATATATAATTAATTTTTACATGTAATTTTTAAATCATTTTTTTATTTCAAATCAATGTACATATAACGTAATTAAATAATTTGTTTATCTTTCTTAACAATATAATTTTATGCACTTTTAACAGCTAGTATAAATATCTGTATGGTAATATAATATTTAGTATTTACTATTACAAATATTTGATAAATATTGATCAACATGAAAATCGTTAACTTTAATTGGACTAATCTAAAGAGTGATCTAATTATAACAGAATTCCCCGATACCTACATTAAAATCTATCAGTAAAATTTCCAACAAATGACAATGAACCTTTCTTGGATTGGTAAAAAAAATTATTAGAAATGTCAATTGACCGGTGCCTTGTTTAATGCTTCAGATGCTTCAAATTTCTTCAACTGCTCGATGCTCGTTCCAAATATCTAAATACCCAAATACTTCAAATAAAGGGTAATATTCCCAAATGGTATAATGCCACAGATGGTTCAACTTTAGGATGTACATATATTTTTTTCGTCAAGAGGCTTTTTCGAATTTCTAAACTTTATAAACCGATTATGATAAGCTTAGTTAGTCTAATAAATCTTCCTGTGTTAGGCATGAAAAAGTGCATTAGATGAAGAAAAGCTACTAGAGAACTAATAATAATCAATTAAATCTAATAAAATTGAGAGAACTAATAATCTACTAAATCTAATAAAGTTGTGTAACGTAGATAGATTTTGAAATTTTCATTTTTTTTTTCAAATCTCCTTTTGACTTTTTTTTTGTTGGTGGGATGGCTTCTTTCACTTCATTTAATTTGGCTAAACAATTATTAACTTCTGTTCCAAAGGTACATTTGTAAGTTATTTTATAACTAAGTTCCACTTTATAAGCTTTATATAATTGTTCTAATACGTTCGTTTTTTTAAAAAATAGTTGGCTAGGAGCTATGCCACTCCAGCCTCTACTAAAGCTGTTAAGGTAACAATAATTTAATAATAATAATATCAATTATTATAAAATGATCAATTGTCAACCAGAAATTTTTTTCATTAGGTTCCTTTAGCTCTTCATGGTATTGAAGGTCGTTATGCTACAGCATTATTTGGAGCTGCCTCTAAACAACAAACACTCGAAAAGGTTGAAGCTGAACTTAGTAAGATTAAGATAGCGATTGAAAAAGATTCTAAAATTCGTAATTTTCTTGAAGACCCTTCTTTAAGTCGTAAAAATAAGAAAGCTAGTATAGAAGCCTTGTTAAAAGATGGAAAGTATTCCGAGACTACTAAAAATTTTTTCGTAGTTTTGGCTGAAAATGGTAGACTTCCTGTAACTACAAAAATCATTAATTCATTTCAATCATTAATGGTTGCTAATCGTGGCGAAGTTCCCGTTACAATTATCACTGCCAAGGTTGATTTCAAAAGAAGGATTTATAATTAATAATTTTATTTTTTTAGTTTTTGATTATTCTTATTATTGTTGTTTTTTATTTAGGATCTTGATCCTAATATTTTGCGTCGACTTGAAAAATCCTTGACTAATTTCCTAGATCAAGGTCAAAAACTTATTGTTACGAACAAAGTATGTTTAATTCATAATTAGGTTTAAATTATGTTAACGTTATACTAAAAAAAAAAATTTTTTTTTTTTTTTTGAAAAAAAAAATATAAGGTTAACCCATTGATTCTTGGTGGTTTAGTGGTTGAAATTGGAAACGATAAGACTATTGACTTGTCTGTTTCTTCCAAGCTTGCTAAACTCAATAAATTGTTGACAGGTAACTTCATTTAAATTCTTTACCACTATTTTTTTTTATTTAGTTAATCTAATTTTTTGTTATTATATATTATAAATATTTGAATTGCAATAAATAGATGCTATCTAATCCTCATAATATTTGAGAAAATTAACAAATTGTAATATTAAATATTTTATTTACACGAATAACAAGTTTTTTTTGCGGAATCACCTTCTCATAACAAAATGAATTTTGTAATAAGTTCTAATGACTTAAGACTATATAATATAAAATACAATTACAAAATTATTGAAGAAGAATAATTCCATAATAATTCTTCAATGCAAAATCCATTCCGTCTTTCAATGATCTCTTATATGTTAAGAGTTAACAATTATAAATTTGATATCATTAATATTTGCTTTTTATGTAGTAGTAAGAGGATTTGATTCATTTATCAAATTGCAAATCTGATAGTTTTCTTATTTCCCAAGATAAAATTGAAAGAATCATTGGATATCCAAATTCTTGTAATTTTTTAATCATTTCTTTTCGATGATTTTAAATATACATATAATCACGTAAGTAATATATAACCTGTAAGCAAATCTGATGTTCAATCTTCTTTCAATATTATGTCATACCTTTTTTCCTAAAAAAATTCGTTAAATACGACTTTGTTCACTCGAATATATATTCTTCTCAGATTGTAGATTTACTAGATAAACATTTTGACTTTTATTAAGAAAACTTTCTGAGTCAGATTATGAGATTGTGATGGTTTTCTTGGTGGAAATCATTAAGGAACCAAATCTTGGAAATTTTTTTGAATCTCTTTTAATAAAAAGGTTTAGTATCAATATACTTCAACCATTATATTATGTGTTATACAAAAGAAACACAATATATTAAATAAAAAGGGAACAGGAAAAAAAAATATACTAAATTATATCTAATTATATTTACCAAATTCCTTCACTAATTAAAGTAGAAATATATAATTAATTAACTATAAGTATCTACCAGTGAATCTCTCATTTGTTTGACTATAGCTGTTGGTTGAGCATCATGTAACTTGAAAATACTTTCTACCACTGATAATTCTGTTGAAGTACTATCTAGACCAGCGAATGCAGTCCAATCATTTACTACAATACCTGCTCCGATCACGTCCGATCCTCGATTTATTGTTCCTGCCTGTAAATATATTAGTATTGATGAAAGATTACATTGTTAATCATTATGTTACACAAAACGTACCACAAGTGGAATTTGTAATAACGATGATAATTCATCCTGATCTTGAACCGTCGTACGTGGGTGAACCTACAATATAAAACGAATATTAATAAATTATTTCATGAATTTAAAAAATCTAAATGTACTTACCAATCCGCCTTGATTACTTATTGCACAATAACTCCCTACAAGAACGTTTCCAGCGATAGTCTGGGTAAAAACTTCAACTTCCAATACATCACGAATAATCTCTTGAGTTTCTCGATCAATATCAGGATGCACTAACGCAACGTAATCATTACACGCGATTACATTTCCCAATGCTGAAAGACGTTCTTCAATACGTTGAATTTTTACGGAATCAGGTAAAGAATTACGTAAATGTTGAAGTTCTTGATCTGTTGTAGTGCTTGGAACTAATAATCCTTTACGATTGCCTAAATGATATAATTAGTTATTATTTATTCCAATACTTTAAGTACGGTTAAGTTTTTTTTTAACAAAATACACAAAATACCTACCTGCTGATAAACGACCAACGATTCGAGTACCAGCAATCGAAGCATGAACTACCGGAATTACATCACCCAATTCACTTTCGAATACGCTATATAAAAATTATAATAAATTAGATTATCACTAACTCAATTAATTCTATGTCAAATCGCGTAGAATTTTGAAGTTATTATATAAGGGTAATAAACCTATAAAAGTTTTCGGAACCTCCGATCGCGACCAAACAATAAGAATTAGTCAAACGAGAGAAAACTCCAAGTTCATTACTATTTTCAAATTGTGCACCTTTTTTGAGATTAAAAAAATTTCGCAAAAAAGTCAGTTGAAATTCCAAACAAAAATTATATAACTATAGGCAAAAGAAAAAAATGGATCTCGAATTAAACTTGTTTACTTACGAACAGCCATTTTGTATTTTATTAATAATGAAGCAGAAAAGTTTTTCTTAAGATATTTAACGACCGAGTCTTTCAGTAGTAAGTAGTAAGTTATCGAGTTCAGGAAAGCACAAGCTTGAATTTTTAATTACGTTTTAAGACGTTTATATAATCCCGTAGTTGTTACCCGCAGTTTCAACCGCAGCAACAAGCGCAGTTCTACTACGGTACTAAAATTAGTGTTTTCATCCTTGAACGAAATTAGAAACCGCAGCAACAAGCGCAGTTCTACTACGGTAATCTTTTTTTAAGATAATCAAGAAAGATATTACTGATTGACCTTTTGATATTACAACCATCCTTGATAAAACGAATAATTATCATTATTATGAACTCGCGTAACTTAAGGTTAAAAACGAAATTAGAATGGCAAAATACACAATATTTATTTAATCCAAAAAAATGTGTTTATACGAATTATGATGAAAATGTTAAAACGACCTTACAACATTATTGGCAATTACCATTAAACGACTTTCAAATTAAACATTCATCAAATAAAGTTGTAATACAACAATATGTTTATAAGCCAATGCTTAATTCTCGTACGAACACTTCCTCCTTAAAAGGTTCTGTTGCAACTCAGGAAGACTTAAATGGCCATTTGTCACCAATTTCGTTGAAAAAATTATCAGAATTATATTCCACTTTATATAAAAAGCCGGTAGAATTCAAGATTATATTATTAAAATATCCTTTTTTAAGTAGTAAAATATTAGCACAATATTTAGCAATGCAAACGAAAAAACATAATATTAGACAAATACGTAGAAATTTATTTAAAAAAGTTCCATTAGCATCATTAATAAATTACGAGAGGGGAAATTTAGTTGGTGGTATTAAAAGTAGGAACGGATTGATTCCCACTTTACCTCCTGCTACACAATCTTTTACTAGAAATGTTACGCCTACTATTACTACACCCACTAGTAAACCTATCATAGATGGTATATCAACACAATATTTGAATTGGACAAAATTATTACGAAACGGAGATTATTATTTACCCACACATTTAGCAGGTATTAAATTAAAAATTAGCGGTAGAATGAGTTTAAGAAAAGGTGCCGCTAGAAGCGCTGTTGTTACCAAATCAATTGGTAGATTGAGAACTAATACAGTAGATAAAAGTATGATTGATTATGCTAAAACTGAAGGAAAAAATATGAATGGTGCTTATTGTATTAAGGTTTGGTTAAGCAGTGCTACGGTATGAGGAAAAGTAGGGTTCAAAAGTACTGTTAGTTAAATTTAATTAATAAATGTTATTAAATTGTTGAGAAATGTCTACACAAAAGTTCCTACAACATAAAATAATTAGTTAGTATACATACATATAAAATAAATTCAATCTTTGAAATATGTACTTACATAAGTCATAAATATGATGGCACTACTAGGAGCGGCTCTAGCAACAGTAATACCACAACCCCTATAAAATCCACTAATGCCATCACTCTTATATAACTCCCTGCCCACTCTCCAAAATCCTCTTTTTACTACATCTTTGCCCGTTATTTTCATTATTTCTTCATCTGTTTGCATTTGACTTTTTATCGAATCTACCGGAAACATTAACAAATTATACGCCATTCCTGCGCAGGCCCCTGAACTCATCAATTCTATCGCTGACAAATCGTCTTTAGTTATATTCTGTCTCTCATTGAACGAGGATTTGTCAATTCGGTTTAATATAAATAAACGTGTAAGGAATTCATATGTACTAAACCATGCTGCAGTTCCTACTGTTTCCCTTACAATTGTACCTGAATGTCCACGATAAAATCCGCTAATACCATGAGTTTTTAATGTATGTTTTATAACGTCAAACGGTCCATTATAACGCGGATTGGTAATCATACTATTCCTTTCCATTTTATAAGTGAATGCTTCTTGTACTTGTAATTTACATTTAATTAATTCTATTGGAGTTAAAAAAAAGCTAGCGGTGGTACCTGACAACCCCCCTGCCAAACATACTACTGACATTGAAAGTGGTGCTTGATGTTGCGATTCATTATTATAATTTGGCGTTTTAAATTCTCTTACCATTGTTTGTATATGATTATATACTAAAAATAAACTAGCATTTTCTAACATCGCTCCTATCATTGGTGGAGACATACCCTAATTATATTACAAGAGAATCGTTTAAAAACCAAGAAAAAGAAAAGATAAATAAGGAGAAACATCATAAGCTTATTTACCCGATAAAGTCCAAAAAGTCCCTCATGTTTTAATGTTTGACGAAAGCAATCTAATGGTCCATTAAATAGTTTATATTCCGATGGCTGCGATTGTAATCGAGTTTTAACCGTATCGAATGGATACTCTACTAATTTGCCCGTCATACCAGCAATCTACACATAAATAGTGTAAAGTTACATGGAAGGAAGATTATTAAGAGTTATTAAAAACTTACTGATCCAAAAATTATATTTTTTATTCCTTGATCCGTTTTGGAGGAATTTTTCGATTCATTGGAATTTTTTGGAGGACTTAGTGTTATTGATTTTTCTGCTAATTCCATTATAACTTACGAATTTTAAAGAAAAAAGAAAAGGGAAAATTTTTTTTTATTGTATTGTGTCTTTTTTTATATACCTATTAATGTACCAAATATGTCAATTAAAAATATATTACGTAATTACGATATTTTTGATTAAGACAAATTTAGATTTTTGCCATTGAGAAAAAAAACTGCATGACTAGGGAGAATGCCGTCATTTTTAGTTAAGAAAAGTTGGTCACTTGATCATGGGAAAAACAATAATCCTGATTCCGATTCTTGGCCTTAAACAAGTTAGACCAGTTTGAATTTGATTAAACCTTAATTTGTGTATAACAAATCTACTTTTAAGTCGTTAATGCCCATCGAAAATAAAGATGGATCGCCAACTTGGTATCCTAATGATTTGTTGTATTTATGATGTTTGTTTAGCTCTGATAGATCCTATCAGAAGTTTCCAAGCATGAGAAAATACTCTTGAGAACTCCATGTGAATCAGGTAAATTAATTTAAATGTTACTGATTAATTGTGATAAATTTCTATTTTATTCCTTTTAGAATTTCGAAGGATAGCAGTTCTAGCAACAGACTTGCGATTACGTTAGATATTATGGAACGAACATTGAGATTCGAATCATTAGAGTTCAGCCCTTATCGAAATAGAAGAGTAAAATATAATCATCAAAACATTAATAAAATGAAAATAATACGCGAAACCATATCATAGTATTAAATCATGATCCAATTAGTTTTATGCTTTACGAAAATTCACATGTTAAGGAGTTTTAGAGAATTTTGGCCCCAGAAATGATAGAAGTTGTGTAGCATAGCCTGACTTTTAGATGAGGTTCATAGATTTTGTGCATGTTGCTTTTTTAAAAGTGTTAATGAACTTATTCCTATCTCTTAATAGATTTATAAAAAATATCTTTAACAGTGTTTATTAACATTTATAGTTTTAAATCGAAAGTGTGATGTTACAGATGTGACAATCGTTCATTAAGACACATCAGTTTCGGGGATGATTCGGGTTATTTGTTTTGTGAGTAATCCACTATTAATTTTTGAAATAAAAAGCTCTAAAATTCTTGTCTACATCCCAGGATAGTAAACAAAATTTCTCTATCGCTGTTCCCGCTGCCAGGATCCGAGTAACTAATCAAGCAGAATTAGAAACCAAACGCGATTGTGAAAAAAAAACTTACATTCTCAAAGATACCTAAAACTTCTGATAAGCCAAACTGCTTAAGGAAAACTCTATGATTAATTATTATAAAAGAAATAACTAGGTAAATTGACCTAATTTATAATACTTACATATGGAATTATGGAATTATTATGTATATTGGTATTATATTCTTGTAAGATATATAAAAGTTTAATAAAGATTTCAATCGACCCGTCTACTCATTTTCAATTATAATTCCAAATTCCAAGATTTTAAAATGGGACTTAAATAGTAAATATGAATTAATGTAAAATGCGTAATTAATTCTTAATATGGTAATCTATAAAATGGGTTTAAAATATGATGTTGGTACGCGTTCTGTTGTCCCAACTTCAAAACTAGAATTGCATTTTACTTGATCAATACAATAATATAACTTAGAAATGTCGGGAAGACGCTCCAGTGGTTCCTTAGAGGGAAATACAAGTTTAGCGTTAAGTGAAAATATGGAATACGATAATTTATTTCGAGACAGTGAAGCATTGTCACAATATATTTCGAAGGGCATAAACTATGTGACAGAAGTTGCGGTTGACCTTGAAGAAGTAGACGAAAAAGAAAAGGTTTAACTTTTTTTTCATTTATTTATTTAATTCTTATTATTAATAAATGATTACAATAGGTCCAAAGAATGGACGATTCTTTGCGAAATATGATTGATATTGAAAATAAACTTTCTGCACAAAAAGAGGTTTTAGAAAGAATTAAAATTAGGACGAACAATGGGCGCAAATTTGTAAGTATCATAGATATTATTTATTTTGATTTATTTTATTTTAATTAAATTTTTTTTTAGGATGATGTTGTAGAAGTTTATGATCAAGAATGTGAAAAAGCCGTTAAAGATTATTCGCAAGTTTCTGAAGAAGAAAAATACTTAAAGAACGAAAATTATGAGGATTTCCGACAGAAAATTTGGGTGATTATATTAATATCATAAATTGTAAATTATATCGCCATTAATAATTAAATTGATTTTTTTATATTTAACAGGAAGTCAAACATCCAAATGAACCTATGCCATCTCTGAATCAAAATGATGATGATGATATTGTGGTTGGTCATCAAAAAGACTCTTTAACTTGTCCAATCACAACACTACCATTAGAAAATCCAGTAACGAGGTTTTTATAAGAATTTTATTAATGTTGTTTCTTTTCAGTAATCTCACAACAAATTCTTATTTACCATTTTATTTAACTAATTAAGTGATCTGTGTAAGCATTCATTCTCCAAAGAAGCTATTTTGTCGTTAATGAGGCAAAACGGCAATGTTGTACCGTGTCCAATTCCAGGTTGTGAAAAACAAATTATGGAACATAATCTCAAGGAGAATAAACGCTTAGAGCGAAAGGTTGCTCTAGAAAATAAGAAGAAGAAAAAGAGTAATAAAATGGACGATATTGAGGTAAAAAAGAAAACAATAAGAAATATCATATTAATAATTAACTAATATTAATTTCTTCTTTTTTTTAATAGTATACTAATATTGATGATTAAATTTGGTGATTGGATTATTTCTCTTGCTTAATAAAATTGGATCAAGCATTATATAATGTAAGGTGATAGGTTTTTGTAGATAATTCAGGCTGGACTGTAAATATTAAACTTTTAAGTAGTCGTCTTAAATAATCAAAATCATTATTTTACTTAATTTTGCTCTTGCCGTTGTCATCTTTGCTTATTTATGAACTTGCTTTTTCCGAAGCCGGTTTTTTGTTTGAAACGGTGTTTAAATTACTCTCAGTTTGATTATCGGATAGAATAAAAGTTCCGCTCGTCTCCCTATATAATATAAATGAGAAAAATAGATTTGAGAAATAATATAGAAATAATATATGGTAGTTACCGTTTCAACTGTTCGAATGTAGGAACAAAGGTGTAAATGCTGGTTCCAATTCCAATTATAGAACCTGCTATTATTGATTTATATCTGATAAAAAAATTCATCTTTTTACTAACAGGGTAGATTTCGTAGATCATTATTGATTATCAAATACTTTTTAAAACTTAAAAGTAGGCAGTAGATCAGTAGATCAATTAATCTTCCATCTTATGTCACAAAAATGATAAGCCTTTCAATACAAATTAGTTCCTTGCTCATTTATTTATTTTGTGTTTACAAATTTAGAAACAAATTTTTAGTCAGAATTTAGTCTATGGTTACTTTTAGTGAGCATAAAATTGCATTATGTTATTAAATGTTTAGCCCAAACAAAAACTAGTTAACAATTTGGGCTTTACCAGATTTAACAGATTTGATATAGTGCGATGTTTAATAACAATGACCAAGTTACATTATGAAAATTCACTAAAAATTTCTTGAATCTTAATATATTATCGAAGTCTAATTTTTTTAAAAAAAATAATTGGATAATATGGTTGTTATTTATTAAAAGAAAATTGGGCCATGATTTTTAATGCTAAACCAGCAGATCATTTTGTAATAAACTGTATATTTAATAAATAACAACACATTAATGATTTCCCGATCGTTAATAAAATAAATAATACTAATAATAATATAAGAAGATATAAATTGTTTAATGATTAATTAAAAAAAAAAGGTTGATCTTAGAAATAACTAATAATCAAAGGCTAAAATAAAATGTTCAAAAGTCCATGTTGCAAACCTCAAAAAAATTTATAATAATTATTAATTCCGATCAAAAACTGCGTAGTAGTGTTAAATTAATATCGAGTTGAATGGGAAGTAAAAAGATAACTATCGAGTCTAATTGGTGAAGTACGCATAACTATTTCCATCAGTGACATTAGAATAAATAAGAGGATAAGCCATGTTAGATGGTGGAGGTGGTGGAGGTGAAGTTATTGGTGATAACCCGTAAGATTGTTGAATTTCTTGACCTTCTTTCTCAATAAATTCTTCGTATAAACATTGAAATGCTATTTGACTAACATGATCTTTAGCATCACTTTTCCTCCAAAAACTCAATTGAGGATTAAACGTACGATTATACACGGTACAATCAAATAAATAATATCCACTGCCATCATCTCTGATTGTATAAGTTGGATGTCCTAATTTATGCATTTGACAGAACTCTAGTAGTAATACACAAGGCCTCTTCATTTGCCCAATAGAACTTGCATGAGCTACTTGTCTTTGGTACCATTGAACTGATTTAGGAATAAGTTCTAGCGGATGTGGTGCAATAATTTGTTGTTGATAAGATTGTCTAGAATAATAAGGACGTTTTACTGCTTGATTATTACCCTTGTTATTATTTGCTTTTTGTAATGACGTATGAGCTTTGACCAGTTCTTGACGAATTAAATCTGTGATTTCTGGCATACGCAATGAAAGATCGTTCATAGCGATACTTGCAGCTTCTTCTTTTGCCTGCTGTTTCTTTGAACGTGCGGTTTTATTCTCATAAGTTTGTCCACAAAAATTCACATGACAGTAAAAGTGACCCGTAACAGAATCATGCGAATATGAATAAACTGGCGGTTTCGAAGTTTTCAATTTTTGATGCAATGTATTTAGAAATGAAATTGGATTAAATGGTACATTAAGTGTTATTGATGAATCTGATGAATTTGATGAATTTGATAAATTTGATGAATTTGATGAATTTGATGACTGAGATAAATTTGATGAATTGTAGCTATGATCCAATGTGGTCGGTGACGAAATTACTGAATCTTCGCTCGATAATTGTGTTGGAGATTGTGGGATCTCCGTCAAAGTACTAGTTGACGAGTTTTCTTCTGAATTGTTGTCTATATTTTGTTGTTCCTGATACTGTTGTTGTTGTTGATTAAATGAACTCGTGCCTTCTGTCATAGCTGAAAATAAAGTCTGTGCTCCTAGAGCATTTAGAGAATTCTCTACTTCGGACATTCTTATTTAAAGTGGTTTTTTTTAAAAAAAAATGTATATTTGTTATATATGCTAACTATTTATTAAGTTGAAAGTTGATTAGGCAAGCTTCTTAACAAACCAAAGAAGAAACCTTCTAGGACTTTGTCATTGTTTATTTCTTTAACCCCTACCTATTAACTAATATAAATCCGATCATGATTGGTTATCGAGATGCAGCTTCTTGTATCACTAGGATCCGCAGAATTTCTTGCATATCGTTTATGATAACAAACAATGTTGAAAATTATATTATTTATTTTCTTTTGATTCAATTTAAATAATTTGAAATGATTGAAACTAAATTACATAAATCAAATTGATTTCTCTAAAGCAAACATGGTATCTAATTCACCACTAGAATCCAGTTCTTTAATAATATCTAATCCACCAACCAACTCTCCCTTATTAAATACCATCGGATATGTTGGCCAATCTACAAATTTTTTTAACCCTAAAAAAAATGGTATAAATTGTAAATATAATTTATAATTTTCGCTTTATCTAAAAATCCACTTGAAAAGTTACCTTGTCGAACTTCTTCATCCTGTAATATGTCAAAGTATTCATACTTGATTTTCTTTTCATCCAACATATTAACTAACGTTCTAAAAGATAGGTATATAATATTAATAAGGACAACATATTTATAATTTTCTATAATTAATAGATTAATTTACTTACTTTGAAAAACCACAACGCGGAGCCTCCGGTGAACCCTTTATAAAAATCATCGCATTACCCTTAGTAGTTAGTTCTTTAAGTCGTTCGTTTAAGTCCTTTTCTTTTGGAATCATGCCTTTGAATTCTCCATTGGCAACCAATTCTTTAATAATATCTAAACCACCTACAAGCTCTCCATTAATATAAACCTATAAATATTTGAAAAAAAAAATATTTGATTAATATGTTAAATATAAAAATGATCTATTTAAACCAATCTAACCTGGGGGTAAGTTGGCCAATTGGAATATTCTTTTAAACCTAGAATAAATATAATTTGTTAATATATATTTGATTATTTTAGATATACAAATTAAATCACAATATGATGCCTTGTCTAACTTCTTCATCAGCCAGAATATTGAAAGAACTAAATTTGACTTGATTTTCATTAAAAATCTCAATGAGTTTCCTTGAAAATCCACAACGTGGTTGAGTAGGTGTACCCTACATATAAAAAAAGTAATAAGATTAAATAATCGGTACCTACTTAACCTTAATAAAATGTAATGAGCCTTACAATAAGTGATTCACAAAAAACGTGACTGAGATGTTTAGGATCATAAGCAATATAAGCAATATCATGTTATGATCTACAAAAGCCAAATGAATCTTGATCCTTAATCATAATCCCAATCACGTTCTTTGCGAAGACTCCCTCACTATATTAAAGAATAAATATTAACGAACTTTAATAAATGCCATAACAGGAGAGGAATTGAGCAATTCCTTCAGACGTGTATTCAAATCAACTGCTTTTTTTTCGCTCGTAGCAACTGGTTTGCCCGTAACAAACGTTGAAACCTTAGCGTATTTAGCAACTGCATTTGTAAGTTCCGGTGCATTTGCACCATTAATACGTTCTGCGATTTTTCCGTTCTAAATGTAAAATAATCAGAATTTATATAATTAAAGAATGACTATAATTTGACATTACTTAATACCTTGAGAACTATAAAGGCTGGAACCGCTTCGATTTCAAAGGATTCCGAAAGTTCGGGGAATTTCTCAGCCTCAATCTATTGTAATAAGTTTAAATGGTAAACATTCTTTTCAATAAAAACGTAATAATATGTTTAATTATATAATGTTACAAACCTTGACAAAGTTTACTGAACTATTTTTACCAGCGAGTTCCGCGAAAACTTCATTCATTTGAGAACATGGCTGGGCCCATGTTGCCCAAAAATCAAGAATTATTACAGAACCTTTGTTTTTCTCGATAAGATTCTTCAAACCGTCTTCTGAAGTAAGTTCTATCAAGTTGCTGTCCATTGTTATTGAAAGAAAGAACAAATGTCGGTCAGGTATTATTATTACTTATATCAGATTATCTAATACCTAAGTAGTCAATAATCAATCTATACCAATAAGGGAATAATTAATTTTCGTATAAGGTACACGTAATTGTTTGCAATTTTTGATTTTTTTTTTTTATTTTTCTCGTAGCAATGTCAGACGGAAAACTCGAGAAACCCGAAATAGACTATACCCCGGTCTGCGATGTAAAATTGCCAGAAACCGAATTATTAGCCCAGGTACTTTCTATTTAACGCGACCATTAGAATAAATTATATATGTTCTTGGCTCTACTGGTTTAAGAAAATTAACAAATTTATTCTTAAATACCATTACAGCAAGGGAAATTGGCCCAAGCATTGGATCAATTATTGGCACTTGAAAAGCAGACACGTCAGGTATGACTTTTATATTAAATTAATTACATGTTTATAATAGCGAATTGCTAACAACTGAATTTTTTTATATTTTAATAGGCATCGGATTTAGCCTCTTCTACTCGTGTGTTAGTTCATATAGTTAAATTATGTCACCAATCGGGAGACTGGAAATTGCTAAATGAATACGTGATTTTACTTTCAAAGAAACATGGTCAATTGAAACAAGTATGAATTGTATCTTTTTATTTTACTTTGAATTTATTATTATAATATTTATATTCATCAATCAAACTACGCTTGCTGATAGGCTATTACAAAGATGGTTCAGGAAACCATGACTTACATTGAAAACACCCCAAATCTTGAAACAAAACTTGAATTGATTGATACTTTACGCACAGTTACCGAAGGAAAAGTATGTAGGACATTCAATTCGTCAAATTACTTTATTAATAAGCTAATAATACTAATTTATAAAATCCTTATTTATTGAACATCTAGATATATGTTGAGGTTGAAAGGGCGCGTTTAACACGCATGTTATCCAGGATTAGAGAAGACGAAGGCAAAATTAATGAAGCCGCTGATGTTTTGCAAGAATTGCAGGTAGAATTTATATTTAGAATTTTGTTCGTATGATTCGGTTTTGTTTATAATTAATTTAAATGTAATTTTAGGTGGAAACCTTCGGATCAATGGAAAAAAGAGAAAAAACGGATTTTATTCTTGAACAAATGCGCTTAACTCTTGCTAAGAAGGATTATACACGAATGCAAATCATTAGCAGGAAAATTAATACAAAATTTTTTGCCGAGACAGAACAACAGGTAAATTTGTACGATTTAATTGCGTATTATTGAAATCTAGGTTAATATAAATTTTTTTAAAAACAGGATTTGAAACTTCGTTATTATGAATTGATGATTCAACACGCTTTGCATGAAGAACAATACTTAAATGTTTGCAAGTATTATCGTCATGTTTATGATACACCACTTGTTAAGGAAGATGAAATGAAGTGGAAAGGAGTAAGTTATTAAATATAAAGATTATTAAATGTGAAATTTTTATTTATGATTATTTTTATTCTAGATTTTAGAAAATGTTATTTATTTCATCGCGCTTTCACCTTATGACAATGAACAACACGATTTGCTGCATCGTATATATGAAGATCCTAACCTTATTAAACTTCCGTTACATCAGTATATTAAATATATATTATATTTTTTTTTTCTCTCTTTTAAAAGAAGTGTTTTAATTATTAATTACCTTTGTTACTAGTCAACTTGCAAAGAATTTTGTAACTCCTGAGCTCATGCGATGGCCGATCATTCAACAAGTATTCGGGGATATGTTAAGAAAAACACCCGTTTTTTTAATTGGCGACGAAGCTGGAGAAAAACGTTGGGGAGAATTACATAATCGCGTGATTGAACATGTAATTAATTTTTTTAAATGAATGATTGTACCGAATGTTTGGAAATTTGTTAACTATTTTTATTTAATACAGAATATTAGGGTCTTGGCTAAATACTATGTCAGGATCAGAATGAGCAGAATGACATCGTTATTGGATCTCACCGAACAGGTAAATGTACTTTCTAATTTTCTAATTAAAATGATTTATTTCTTATCAAATAAAAAAAACTTCCTTTTTATTACAGCAAGCAGAAGATTTCCTTGCGAAACTTGTAGAATCGAAAACTATTTATGCTAAGATAGATAGACCAGCTGGAATTATATCTTTTGCGGCTCCTAAAAACGCCAATCAAGTATTAAATGACTGGTCAAACAATATTAATTCCTTATTGGGACTTATAGAAAAGACGTGTCATTTGATTACGAAAGAAGAAATGCTGCATAGTATTGCTCGAGTGAAATAAGAAATAGGAATTTTCGATCTTTTTTATAGACATTAAAATAAAGGTTATTATAAGTTAATATTAAAAATTATTAAATTAAATACATGGTATTAAAAACTAATTCAATGATAAGCCGAAGCATAGTATGATAGTCTAGAGGCAAAATAAGCCAATTGTTCAGGAAGATAAAAGACATAAAAGAATGTAGTGTATGTAAAAAGCGCCAAAAAAACGATAACAATTGAATCTACAAATTTAAATAGTTATTGAATATTTTTTTGATTTATTCGATAAAAACTTAAACGTAAACATACTGAATAGAGCCTTTTCCCAAGGTTCGAGCATATATAAAGCAGTTGTCACTTCATATTGATAATTTTTAAGTGCTAAATAGTTACGAATTGCTTTAAGCATTTTTTTTTTTTTATTAACGAGAATCGTTTCTTTACCAAGATCCGAAATTAAATAGCGATGTCGATCATAAATTGTTACCTAATTTTTTTTTTTTTTGGTCACCAAAACAGTAAATGCGCACAGTCAAGTTCAAATATGATTTGTAGACATATGTAGTATACTTTTTTTTTTTAAAAAAAAAAATTTATTAGCGAATTAATTTAATTAATTATTATTATAGAGTACATAAAACAAAATTTTTCTAGATTAACAAACAAATAAACTAGATTATCATAGATCTTCAAATTATTTTCATCTATTTGCATTATAATTAATTTATCTCTTATAAAGAATTATGGCAAGTTATTTTTATGTTTCTAAAAGGACAACAATATGTAAGAAATTATCAGGATAACAAAGATTCTGTGATGCCCAAAGAATGGGAATATTTAATTGCGGGATAACACCATGAATAACAGGAGCAGCAAAGGCATTTTCAGTAGGTAAAGGCGAAGGGAATAATTCCGGGAGAATTTGATGTAATACATCTCCTAATGTAAGCTGATTTCCTATTGAAAAAAAGATCAAAATAAATTAATTAAAATATTATTAAAAAAATGGAAGCATAAACTTCTCTCAAATTATTTCACTTACCATTCTCGTCTGAAGGTGCAATTGGTTCTTGTATAACTGGGCAGTTATCAGGTAAATATATCCGTAATGGAATATGTTTCGGTAATTGTCCATCATTAGTGACAAGACGATAATTTATACTCCAAAAACGATCATAATTTTCCGTACGATATTTTTGAGAGAAACCTTATTACTGTTAAATGATAATAAACTTTTGGTGAACGAAAAATCATCACTTATTACTTTAAGATAAAAGGATACTGGACCAAAGTCCATCCAAAAGTTGTGTTTGATCATTCTTTGACAAATTCATAACTTTTTTTGTGCTGCCATTCCTAAGAAAATCGGCCTTTAAAACAAAAATATAAGTAAATAAGTTTTTTAAGTATATTACCGATCGAAAAAATGAATTAATTTACCTCCTTAATCATTGACATAAAGAAATCTTGTGTCGCATCAATAGCCTGAGCACGTATCAATTTATCTATAGGGAAATTCTTGAAATGAACAGTAACTGGCCACGGTAGAGGTGGTGGGCTATTTGAATCAGGTCGGTATCCTGTATGCAAATCATATAAAAGTCCAATCGGGTAATGCCTAGAATTACAAATGTTATTTAAGCGAGAGAAATGAAAAAAACCTTTTTGGATTCAATCGATAAATACCATTTAAGTGGAATACCATCCACGTCATACCAAATTTCTGCGTCGTCTCCAATAAAATTCAGAGCCATGTTTGTCATGTCTACAAAGTATTTTCTAATTTGACTCGTTAATAAAGGAAAATATGAGCACCGAGGAGCTTCTAACTGTCAGGAAAATAAAAAATAAGTTACTAGTTTTTAAACAGCGAATTTCTCGATTCTAATTTTAAACCTTAAAATAAACTTACAAAATAAGGTTCTACTAAGACTTTAGCTCCTAACTCTGCCGCTTCAGTACTATCAAGTGAGAATTTTATAGGAAGTGTACCATCCCAAATAGCTCGAGTAATAGGGTTTTGTGGTGCTGTCATTGCTAATCAAACTAATCAACGGATCAAATTATTCTTTTTCAAGTAGTTAAAATATTCGCGAAAATGTGTGGTCATGTGCGTTTATTATCATGCAATTATCGAATTTTTCGTGTAACATGCAAAAAAGTATATATTTTTAGTTTTTTTTTTTTGTTGAAAAAAGAAAGAAAAAAAAAATGAAAATTGAACTTAATGAAAAAGCACAAAATTCATTTGGGAGTGTTCGTGGAATTGTAAAGGTAATTTTGGTTTTTTTTTAAGAAAAAGAATTTTAAAATCATTAATACTTTTTCGAATTTTACGATCAAAAAAAATAATTAGACTGTTATTAAGAATGCAAACGTCAGTGAGGTGAGCGAAGAAACTTTTTTTTTACCTCTATATATTTATTTATTTTCCCTTAAATTAATTAAGGAATTAATGAAAACCGCAAAATTATTTGCAAATCTCGATGTATCAATGAAATCAACTCATCAAGTAAGTTTTTAAAAAACTTAATTGACTTATTTCTTTTAAAAAAGAGATTCATTAAAGTTTTTTATAATTTAATTAGTCCCTAGAAAAACTTACTATTGGAATAACTCAGTTACGAGAAAGGTAAATATCACAATATATAGTTTTCATTGAAAAATGCCAATGAAATTAAGTATGAATTTCGTTTTTTTTTTATTATTAACATTTTAGGAATAATCAAATGTTAGAAATCTTACATATTATTCCACAGATAAATGATGGGTTAAATGTTGAAGAATTAATTAAATGTTCTTCTACTCAATAAAAAAGTTTTAATAATATTGCTAATTCATTTAATTATATTTTTTCAAATTTTTTTTTTTTATTTATTACCTTTGTGATTTTATATATTTTATGTAATACATAAAACAGACCACCTCGCTGATGTAGGGAGTTTATTTTCCAAAATTCTTTTATATAGAAAAAAAATTATAATATTAATAGCTGTAAAATTAAGATTTATATTTAACATTTCTTTTAATATTAATTTATTATTTAATCATTTTTTTAAACAAATAACAACTTAATATACATTTTTATAAAAATTATTAATAATTTTAGTATTATTTTTTGGGTATTGCTAAACATCATCAGTGGTAATAATTACCAATGGTAAAATTATAATGTAATGCTGGCCAGTATTTTATTAAAGTTTTAATTCTGATCGAAAATACATTATAATTCTGATACAGTGATCATCACCGCCATGAGCTTTGGCAATTGACTAAAGATTCGGTCAAATAAAATCAATTCAGAATTGATTTGAATTTGATTTAATTTGATTTGATAATTTGATTTACAAATCAAATCCAAATCAAAATTCAAATCTGAATCAAATTTTGTGATTTGATTTGATCAAATCAAATTCAAATCAAATTCAAATTAAATCAAATCAAATTTAAATCAAATCAAATCAAATCAAATCAAATTTGAATTTGAATTAAATTCAAATCTAAATTAAATTTAAATCTAATTTAAATCAAATTTGAGTTAAATCACTAAATCAAATCGAATTAATTTGAATTATTCAAATCAAATTCAAATCAAATTTGGATTGAATTGAATCAAATCAAATTGAATTTCAAATTAAATTAAATTAATTAATTCAAATTAAATCAAATCAAATCACTAAATCAAATCGGATTCAAATTATTCAAATCAGATTTAAATCAAATTAAATCAAATCAAATCAAATTAAATTAAATCAAATCAAATCAAATCAAATTGTAAATCAGATTTAAATGATTTAATCAAGTTTAAATTCAATTTAATTTGAATTTAATTCAAATCAAATTAAATTTAAATCTAACTAAATTCGATTCAATTTGATTTGTACAGAACATTACAATTGACTTATTTTTTATAATGCAAATAAAAGTAATTGCCAATCTGCATAATATAATATTTATTGCTAATCTGTATATAAAGAAATTCATTAATTTGTAATTAAATCAATTAAATTATAAAATTTAAAATCTTTTTATCCAAATATTAAAATATAGTTCATAAATTTTAAAACCCTATAAATCTAATTAGAAATATAAAAAAATTATAAAATATATAATTTTTTTAATTTTTCATATAGATGAATCTGTTAATTTTTATTTAATTAATTTAAAAAAAGGTTTAAAATTTGTGCGCACCTGCGTATGTGCGCACCTCCATGGATATATTATATATAAAAGTCAAAAATGACATTCTAAATCCTTTATGGCTCATTAAGTAAAGTTGTAAAATAGGCAAAAATACACATAGTAAATAAATTTTTAAGGCTCTATAATATGTACGTGAGAGTTGCAGCATGAATATTTAAAAAAATATAGATTTTACTAAAATCACGTGATAATTAATGATCGACAAATTTACTATATAAAAATTACCAAAAATGGAAGGGTGCGCACATGCGCTAGTGCGCACAAATTTTATTTCCTTTAAAAAAATACAATCTTTTTTATTTAAATATAATTTTTATAAATTCAAAATTTTACAAATCCACCTAGCTAAAAATGTAAAATATATAAAATTTTTTTTATCTGAAATTTTTTATCTATCATTTTTTTATTAAGGTAAATCTAAACCTTGTCTTTATATATAATACCTTAAATTTTGCTTTTTTTAAAAAAAAATACTTTTTATACTGATTATTTAATTCTAGTTAGAATTAAATACATTATGTGATTTAACAAAAAAAATCTGAAAAAAGTTTTGTAAAATAAGTTAAAAATAACATTTAAAACTATCTTTTAATACTACAAATAAATTTGTAAAAGTAAAAATACATATACAGTCAAACCTTTATATAATGATATGTCAGGACATATATGAAATTTTTAGAAAATATCGTTATATCAAAGTAATACCGATATTTATATGTCCTCACATATAGTGGGAAAATAAAATTTTATCGGTATATCAAGTTTTTAATAGTATATCGGTATATCGAATATCGGTATATCGAGGTTAGACTGTATTATACATTTCTTAAAAAAATTTGTATATTAATCTTTTTACAAAATTTTGAAAGATTTAAAAAAATTCATCTGAATATTAATATAGAACTATACTAGTAATTTTAAAGCAAATATGATATAATACTTAAATTTTATTAATCATTTTATAAAATTTACAAATTTATATATAAAGATAAATAAAATAACTGAAAATAAAATACAGTCAACTCCCTCTATAGTCACTCCCGTTATAGTCACATTCTACTATATAGTCACATCAGTTGAATGTTCAAAATACTTTATTATTAAAATCTATCCTATATAGTCACAATCTATCTATAGTCACTATCACACCTATCCTCAAAAATCTTATATTAAAAAGAACCGTTTATAATCACAGTTATATAAAGAATATATTAAATAACTTGGCATCTAATAATCGTACAAAGATGTATCATAGCTTGTTAGAATCGTCTCACTGAGACGAATCGAATGGTGGTAGTTTTATCCTTTTCCTTTGCAAGTGTTTACGGCCAGACCACCAATTGCCTCTTATGAAACTAATATCGGGACTGTGTCCTATCATCTTCAATGAGCAACCATTATACCGAGTACTTAATTCCTCAGGTAACAGCACCACTATAGAAAGTTTTATCCTTTTCCTGTACAAACAGTCTTATGACTTTATCTTTTATTTATACTTTGGACTTCGAAAATATAATCGAACATTATTACAAAAATAAGAAAATAAACTAATAAAAAATAAAAAGAGTAGCTTCACGACTCATACAAGTAAAGAAATCTGAACTAAAATAAAATTAAAGCAAAGAAAAACTAAACTATTACAGAATCGCATACCCCAACTTTACCCGAAGGCCAGTGTGAGTCAACTATCCAACATCCAAAAATCCAGTCCGTTACCAGAAAGAAATCCTAAGAGGTTGAACTGTTAAGCAGCACAGAAAATCCAAGTGCGAGATCCATGATCCACCCCGAATTATAGAAGAGGATATCCAAGAAATCCAAGAATCCTGAGAGACTGACGCCAAAGAAGAGTTGTGTTGTTGTGGAGAAGTAGCAATAGGAGAAGAAATTGTAGATGGGCCACGTAATTTAGAAGCAGCCGAGATACCCTGCGACTCTTCCCAAGCATGGAAAAGAACATTCCGACACAGCCAAATTTCACCATATAATTCGACTTGGAAGTCATTAAGAAGGGGAGAAATAATCTTATATATAACAGAGAGAGGAAAGTGTTGATTCAAAAATGCCGTTAAATGCGCAGGCAACAATCCTCGAGTAAGCCAAAGACAGGATGAAGAAGGAGCTTCATAATTCCAACAATCCAAAGCAAAAAATTCGGTACGAAAGGAAATATCCAAAGATTTCAAGGATAGGAAAGAAGATAAACAAGAATCTCTGAATTTAATGACTTCAGACCGGTGTGTTAAACAGGGATTTAATTCTGGTAAAATATAAGGACAAGTCCAAAGATGATTCAAATCTTCAGGAGCAGAATTACACTGCGGACAGAGCCAGTCAGGAAAATAAAAATAAGGTTTACGTTGTTGAAGAGTAGTTAAGGTAGGCAACATATCCAAAAGAAGTTTAATGCGGAAGATCCAAAATTCGGGACGACCATTCCTATGTGAAGCGAAACCTTTAATTTGTGAAAGGCAAAAATATATACCAGCCCAATCAAAGAGTGAAGGAGAACCAAGAGCAGTAAAACACGCTAGTGAACAGAAAGATAAAAAAGCACGAGCATCTGCAATAGAGCGGAGAAAATGTCGAATATTCACGTCAATAGGCAAGGAGTTAAAAGTCAACAAGCATGGAGCATAACAAAATGTTGAAAGTAGAGTAGTGGGTTGTAAAGACGAATGAGCATCTCTTGCCAAAGAATCCGCTTGTATATTATAGACATCATCGCCATGAGCAGGGACTTTAATCAATTCGACATTAAGATTACGATCCATGATAAGTTGTCGAATAGAAAGCCAAAGAAGATGATTAGGTTCTCGGAGCAACTTCGGTGAGAAAGGAGCATCAACAAACCGTGTCCATAGTGAAATTAATTGACTACAATCAGTATGAATAGAGATTGACGAATCACGGGAAAGGGCGTTCAATCCTAATAGAACAGCAGAAATTTCGGAACGCAAAGCGGAAGGAAAGTAAGAAGGGAGATGCATGGAAGAAGATTCCAGAACAAGTCCAACATCATCAAGAGCAATCCAAGCAGAAGTCATGGAAGAAGGCGAAGAATCTTTGGC